ATGTTATGTAGAAGAACTGACCAGCATTGTTGGAACTGTGGTATTTTTAATCACTGTTCGCTGCTAAACTTCCTGGAAAAGCAAACTGCCTTGCCAAAGTAACTTGTTGGTAGGAAGTTTCATGGGAAAATATGTCCTGCTGGACTAAGCAGATTTTGACTAAAACATTTTGCGTATGCCCACTTCTCCCCAGATGAGGAAAGTGCATTTAATCCTTTCCAGGCAGAGCATCTCTGACAAATAGAATTATTGTTTCTCATTCTTTTCATTTCCATGCTGTAGAGCCTGCACTTGCCTCTGGGCAATTGAAGTGGTTTCTTTCCTTTGGATTTAATTCTCTGGCTACAGAGGAGACAAATTTGAAAGTCAATTGTATGTTGTTTTATACTTCTATCCAACCTCCCTTTGCTAATTTGTGTTCTTCCCTCATATTCAGTACTTTTACAGTTTCGTTAATTAATAAAGCAAAAGCCATGTATGCTCTGTAATGGTACTTTTCATTTAGCTCAGCCTAAGCAGAACAGGAGTGCTTTGGAGCTGCCGTTGACAGCAAACCTTTCTCTTTCTATGTTGCTAAATGAATTAAGAGTTGGGGAACAAACTGTCCACCCCAGTAATTGTGCATGTGGCAAGAATTTCTGCTATCTGAAGCTATCATACCCACAGGTATGCAGCATATATCACGCAGGCTTGCTTTCAAATGTTTTTGTTTCATTTAATACAAAGTAGTTAAAATAAGAGCTGACCTGGATCAATTATAAAGTTGATCTACAGTGCCTATTTTGTTGTCTACTGTATCTATAAGCCGATGTCTATGGAAGAATATAAGATCAGGGCAACCTTATGGTGCTCCCCCCAGTATCCTCTAGCACTTCTTGAACTGGCTGTTAATTTTTAAGCATTGTTGAAGATCGGAGGTGATTCTAGTGATAATTAATAGAACCTCCTAATTAGTCTAAGAAATCAATAGCATATGTCTATAAATTCAGTGACTTTTCTGCCTGTTCAGAGCAGTAGATAACATTTGTACACCTGCAGATTTGCAGTGCGCACTGTGCACATCTCTTCATAATGCCTTTGTGAATCCTAACACTGTTGTCTGCATTTTTTCCTTTTCATCATGAAACTTGCAACTTAAGTGAAAATGTAAAATCTTTTAATATACCAGCTTCTGTGTTTTATCATTGTTCAACAAATCGGCTTTTTATTTTTATAGTAAATAATAACCTAGTGCTGCTTACAGAGCAATAACAATTATTTTGAGAAATTTTTCTTGCTTCTACTTTGCATCTTGTTACAATGAAATATGAGCTCTTAAAATCTGAAATCTGATGTGGTATATGTGAGTAAATAAAATCTAGCTGATAATGTGCTTGGAATTGTCTCATACTCATTTTGAATTGTTCTAGGAATGTGTTATGAAACAATTGTAGTAGATTTATTTGGTCTTGTAACTACTGTAATTGCCATGTACAAGTGTTTGAGCCTAATGCCTAGTATTGACCGTACAATGAATAAAACAGGTGTATCTGGTATAAAGCCAAATATTGTTTTATTGTTATCAGAATTGAAAAACTTTGCAATGCACGAGAGAGTATTTAAATAACCTTAAGAAATCATTTTACACTCTTTGTCCTGGTTTGAGGTAAAACAAGACCAATTTTGTTCACTAATTTTGCTTCTTTGCTAAGGCTCTTCTAACTAGTGAAATGAACAGCATATTGTAGACACTCTTTGTGATAAGACTTATGTTTATAGCTGATGCCCAGGCATAGTATGCAGAGAGGCTCTTGCTTATACTCATTGCTATAAAACCCAAGGGCAGCTAACTTTGTTACTTGCCCTGTTGAAGGGTCAGAAGCAGAAAAAAGCAGTGGTGTCCCACCTACAGGGAGGAGCAGACAGAACACATGACCCAAAACTGACCAACAGGGTATTCCATCGCATCTGCCTCATGCTCAGTGTAAAAGCTGAGGGATCAAAGGGTCAGCTCTCTCTTTCTTCAATGGCCGATGTCTGAGGAGGACTCTGTCTGTTTGTCTGCCTTTGATCCCAGTTTTGAATCCAGACCCGAAATCCAGTTCCCGTCCATCACTGAGTCCAGCCTGGGACTGCCCCAGTGCCAGCCAGTGTTGTGATCATCATCCTGGGAGCTTGGTATGGTTTTGTATATGTTTCATTATTTCCTTTTATTTTATTATTAATATTTCATTAAAGTAGTTTAGTTCCTTCTAAACTCGTATGTCTCTTTTTCCCTCCTCTGCCTCTCTCTTTGAAGAAGGGTAGAGGGGAGCATCTGTCGGTTTTATCTGTGGTCCCCAAGTCCCCAGTAGTCGATTCAGCCTAAACCATGACACTCTTAAATAGCACAAAAATACCTGGTCAATGTAAATTTCCCAGGGGTTGGTGGTTTGGTATGGTGGTGTGTTTTTTTGCGTGGTGGTTTTTTTGTTTGCTTTTTTTTTAGTTTGGCTCTTGTAAATTTTATACAAAAAGCTCTACTTCAGTCTTTTTTGAGTGCAGTTAAAAGATATTTGTCACTTGAACCAAGAGCCACACATACTGAGACTTTGGAAGGCTGATTTAAAACCAAAGTCAAACTCCTCATAATGTACTTGTTCATTTCTGGGATCCTCTAGTAGTAAAGAAGGAAATGGAGACTATCTTTCTTATCCCTACAGAACGTAAAAGCATGGCGTTACGTGCATGAGATGTGTATTTCCAGGTGACTTGAAACATTTGGCTAGTTTCGGGTAACAACATAGCATTCTCTTACCGTGATAAATAACTGAATATATTAAACTTTTTATTAGAAAAAAAGAAATTTGTGGCACTTATTTTATTAAGAGATCCATTTTGGCAATAGAGTTAACAGTATACATTGTGCATTGGGTCAGAGACCCCTGATCCTTTTTCCTGTGATCTTGGACGGAATGAAAAGAATAAACGGTGGTGATATTAATTTATTTGTGCATTTTATTTAGCACTGAGATGAATGGAAGTAAAAAAATTCCAGAAAGGATTTATTTACTTAAGAACTGCAGTTCCTTCTTAAGCCTTGAAGAGGAATCCTAGATTTTCTATACTGGTTTTGGGCTAGCCAGTTGTTTTGCTTCAAACTGGAATGTAAATGGAATCTAGCAAGCACATTTGACACGAAGCTGGCTACAGCCAGTCAATGGGAAGCAATGAGGTTACGAGTTGTATCTGAAATCCCAACCCCTTCTTGGGTATTAGCTGTATCATTTATATTTACCCATATATGATCCAGAGCCTGGAACTTTTTCT